GTGATTAATTTGGTTAAGCAATAGAAATCAAGAAATGGAATGAATCAAACAATACCAAACGGTATAAAAGTGAATTAGCCGATCTAATTATATAAAATAATAATTAAAAGCTAAAAGCAAACAATAATATATATATTTATTATAATTTATTTTAAAAAACAAATTAGCATTTTGTTTTAAATGATTACATATATTAGAAGAAATTTAATTTATAAAAATATATATTTCTTTCCAAAATAATATTTATAAAATAAATCTACTACTCACAAAAATAAAAATAAATAATTTTACTAACAAAAAATCAATACTATTAAATTAGAAACATGTTCAATATAATTGATAAAATTTTATGTCCAACAATTATAACTGCATTTGAATATATATTTGTAACCACTATTTTCAAAAAATAAAGTAACTGTTTTCCTTTAATTTCTATATTCTAGGATCAATAACTACCACATTTATGAGAGTGCACAAATAAATTATTGTATATGTTCCGATAAAAATCTGTATAATAACTAAAGCCATTTCTTTTCTTCAAATCTACATTTTTGTTACAGACAATATATATTAGAACTAGGTGATGATTGTTTGCTTGGTTTTTAAATTTTAGTTTTTGGCTTTTTATTTTCAGTTTTTAGATTTTGTTTTTTTTTTGTTTTTAGTTTTTGATTTTTCTGTGGATTTTGGTTTTTTGAATACTTGAATGGGATTTTAGATTTTGGTTTATTGTTTTAAAGATTAAAATAAATTATTAATATTAAAATATTCTTATAAATCAATAAAAACAAAATTATCATTAGTGTCACTAAAAGTAAATACTTTAATGAAAATCTAAAATAAAATAAAATAAATTATAAAGTATTATTAATATAATTGCTTCATTTAAAATATTTAATTTTATATTTACAGGAAAATACACAATAGTTTAAATTAATAATTATATTTTACATAATAATTTATAAAATATACTATTTCCATCTGAGATTTTGTTACATTTTATATAAATCAAATATTACTAAAAATAGTTAGTTTTTTAATTTTAATTTGAACATTTTTTGTAAAAATAATTTGCAACCCAATTGTTTAGTAAAAATAAATTTTAATACTATACAATTTTACACATAAAATAGTGCATAATTAATAATTAGTTTTTGTACAAAATAGGTTGCAAATTACTACAAAGTTGGTAAAATTAAAATTAAAATTAAAAAATACTACAAATATATAAAATAAGAAAATGTTTTCACTAATATAAGTTATTTTGTAGTTTTAGAATTTAAATCTTCAATGATAGAGAAAGTGTTTTGTTGATTATGAGTGATATAGAATAGTTATTATTTCATCAATAATCTCTTTTAATTTAATTATCCTACATTAATGCATAATTATAGTAATATTAATATTTCAACAAAAAGAAAAAAAATAAATATAAGAAGTAATGTATAAGTCACATACTATTGCTGGAAAAACCAAAAAAAAAACATGGTTTTGGTTTTTATGAAGAAGTAGATAGTTATTCCAAAATCTGGTTTCCATAAATTTTAGAAAATCCATTTTCTTAAAATCTTGATTGGTAAAAAAATAGTTTTTACAAAATAAAAAACCAAAAACCAATTTAGAAACTGAAAACAATCAACCTACTAATCAACAAATAATACTTTACTAATACACTATACATTAGTTAATCCAGTGAATTAATATCCACCTTTATTCTTACTATTATGATGGCTACTAATATTTGAAATCTAAGTTTATTCTTTATATTTATTAACCCTGTCCTTTTAACAAAATATATAATATATTAATATAATATTATTTACCATTGAAAAGTTAATATAAAAAGTATTTTCATTTACCAAATATAATTAGATTTTTATTCAGTTTCATGAAATACAAATTAGTTTACTAATTTGTCTACCAAATTAAAATTTTGCATATAAATAAACTAAATATTAATTATCATGAAATTAAATTTAAATAAAAATAAAAATAAAAAATGGTTAGATTTATATAGGTTTTTCTCGGTTTACCATTACCAGATCATGGGTCAATAAATTTTTTATGGATTTCTAACCGGGTTTTATGGAGTTTTTAAATAAAAAATTATTACTTAATCTAAAGTCTCAGATGGATTATATGCAGATCACTCGATTTATCATTATTTATCGTGGATTCGAATCAATAAGAAAATATCGCAAATAGTTATTGAAATCAAATTAAATTTAACAAAATTTAGATCAATACAACAAATCAATATTTTTGAGTATATAGGTTAAACTTAAATGGATTGAGGACCCAGACTTACAGGGAGATTGCACATAGGTTTTTTGAATACAAATATTAATTACGTTAATAATTCAAAATTTTAATAAATTTAAAAATATCCTGGTTTTATTTAAACCTGATTGCATATTTCATCATCAAAATCATTTATATTAAAAGGTTAACATATTATAATTTTCACATTGATAATGTTTTTTTGTAGCATTTAAATGTAAATAAATAATCAAAAATATATATTTGAATTATTTTGGAGATAAATCTACGGTTTTAAAGCCGAAGCAAAAATATAACTATACTTTGTTATTTTGAAAAAAAAATTAATAATTGTTTAAGGATAAAATACAAAATTAATGTGTGAAATGTATATGACACAAGTGTACAACATCACAAATAAATTACAATATCAAAACCCTTACTCATATATAAAAAAAAAACATTTTATACAAAGATGATTACAAAAAATATAATTAAAAAAAACACAAATACGAAAATTAAATTTTTTAAAAATGTTAAACAAAAAGTATACTGCCCTTTAAAAGTTGGGTCAATATCTAGTAAATCTATATTATAATGATACACTTTAAAGGCTCCTTAAGGTGTCCACATAGGCAGATTGTGGATCCCACATTTTTATATTAAAATAGATAGTGTTTTTAAAATGGTTACAAACAAAGAATATTAGTTTAGCCAAATGGTCTAAGGCCCCATGTTTCGTCTACAAGGGCATGGGTTCAATTCCCACTGCTCTCATGCATAGATATTTTTTAAACACAAATAGTCTTGGTAAGATGGTCACAAACAATGAAATACACTTTAGTCAAGTGGTATAAGGTGTCTAATTATGTATGCAAGATTGTGGATTCAAACCACGCAGCTATCATGTATTTTTGATTTTTTTATTTATGCAAGATTGTGGGTTCAAACCACGCAGCTATCATGTAGTTTTGATTTTTTTATTTAGGTTATTATCATATGAGCTTTTTGTTTATAAGATTCTTATTTTTTTTGGCTTATTGTTTTAAAGATCAAAATAGTTGTATAAACTTTAAACCTTAACAAGTTCAAACCAAAAATAGTTAAAAATGAATCCAAAACGAACAATAAAAAAAAAAAAAAAACAAGTCTCACGTGGTTGCCTACGCGGATGGCTTAAAGAACCTTAAAACTATCATATTATAATATAGCTCAACCCAAAAATAATAAAAAATAAATCCAAAAACGAACAGACAAAAAAAAAACAAAAAAAAAAAGTGAATTCCACGCGGGTGCATACGTGGATGGCTTAATGAGGGTTGAATAATATAGATTAGGAGCTCAAAAAGTTAAATCATTGCACATATTTCCTAATATATATTTTCAAAAAATTCGTATGTGAGATAAAATAAAATAAAACAACAAAAATTAATTATTTTCGTTATTTATTAAATGAATATATAATTTTTCTTACATTTTAATAACTACTATAATTTCCTTGAAAACATTCCTTACCACCGATTTCAAACTCCGGCGAATGGATGCCCACAGTCGATGTCGCCGTAGATAAAAATGCCACATCATTTATGAACAAAACTCAAACAAAAAAAACCATATATAAAAGCCTATCTAATGAAACTTAAACAACGAATATTAACTTAATTAAGGTTATTTTCAAATTGATAAATCGTTTAATACAAATATAAATACTATAAATATAGAATTATATCAAGTTTTGATCTACGATATAAAAACTATTTACAACAAAAAAAACACATCTACTTTTACACACTAAAAACTATATTATAGCCTAACTATTCCTATAAACTTTACTTCGCATATAAATAACATTTAACACATTCCTAATATTTTTCAAAAAAAATTGTATGCGAAATAAAATAAAATAAACAACAAAATTTAAGTAAGTTATTTATTAAATGAATATGTAATTTCTCTTACATTTTAATAACTACTATAATTTCATTGAAAACATTTCTCACCACTAACTC